GCAGAAGACCTGGTGTTAGTGAAACAATTTGTGACGAGAGTGGACAGCCTATCCACAACTTGTCAAAACGCTTTGAGCGTTGAGCTGAGTACTTTGAAAGGAAATTTTGTCGGTCGGAATTGTTAGATTTCTCGCCGGCCACTGATGGCCCCGCTTCGTGGGGTGTCCTTTTGGATCCACCCTCTCGCTCAGAAGTCGAACGTGAGATCGCACTGCTGAAGTTAAATAAAGCCGCGGGACCAGATGATCTTCCTCCAGCCCTTTTCCAATTCGAGGGACCTGCTCTTGTGAATAATTCACAATAGTTACTAGTAAAACTTTGGGAGCAAGAAACTGTCCCAACCGACTGGAGCCGCTCCGCCATAGCGCCAATTTTCATGGGACGCTCACGATCGGAAAGCGGCAGCCATTGAGGAATAAGTCTGATCGCCATCGCCTCCAATTTGATTGCCTCTGTCATCATTCACACACTGACTGTCATTCGTGGAAGCCAGATTCGTGAAGAGCAAGCCGGGTTTCGTCAAAGTCGTGGCTGCATTGACCACATCTTCACCTTGCGTCAGTTGTTGGAGCACCGTCACATATATTGGCGGCCCACCCATGTCGTGTTCCTCGATATCAAAGGTGCATTCGATTCAATGGATAGACTTGCACTTTGGGACTGTCTATTCAGGAAAGGTGTACTTGAGAAATTTGTAAATATTATCCGTGCATTATATACGCGTAGATCGGGTGGAGTGACGGCTTACGGCAAGTTGTCGTCGCCCTTTAATATCTCCAGCGGTGTGAGACAAGTTTGCTCGCTGTCACCATTCCTCTACAACTTCGCTGTTGACGAAGTCATGGAAATCGCGTTCACAGGACACGACTTAGTAGGTGTGGATCTGCTCCCAAGAGAACGACTTCTTGACTTAGAGTATGCTGATGATATTGCCCTAATCTGTGACAGCTCACAGACGTGCCAAGCTGCACTGGACAGATTAGCACTAGCTGTCCGTCACTTCGGGTTTTGCTTCGCACCATGGAAGTGCAAAGCGTTGCTCCAAGATTGATCTGGACCGCCTCCTACGCTGACCCTTGGTGGGGATCAGCTGGAAGTCGTTCAAAAATTCAACTACCAGGGAAGTTGTATCAGCGCCCGTAGGATTGAAGATGAGATCACCAACCGTGTAGCAAAAGCTCGGGGCGCTTTTCCTAACCTTCGCCACTTATGACGGCGGCGCGACATCACTCTCGCCCTGAAGGTTAGAGTGTACAATGCAGCGGTACGTTCGACCCTACTGGACGGTTGTGAAACCTGGCAGAATTAAAGCAGCCGACTTGAAGCGGCTAGTTGCGTTCGACCACCGGTGCCTTCGCAATTTAGCTCACATCTGGTGGGAACACCGCATGAGCAACGATCGTGTTTGACGCCTTGTTTCCGGCACAGGAAAAGGAACTGAACCGCTCAGCACCGTTATTTCACGCACCAGGCTCCGATGGCCGGGTCACGTGTTACACATGCCAGCCCACCGACTCCCGCGGCGTGCGTTGTTTGCTCACCGCCGTGTGTATGAAAGAAGAGGAGAGGTGGCCAAGAGATGACTTGGTCGAGAGGAATGAAGGCCCTTACTTCTGTGCTGGCCTCGGTTGGAGCGTCTCAGCTCCCTGGTTGGGGTCCGAAAGACGATGAACACGTTTGGCTGGATACACTTGCTGATATGGCTAGGAGCCGACCTCAGTGGCGTTCCTGCTGTGAGTTTCTTTGTCCCACCCCATCCCTCTTAGCCTCCTCCTCCAACCACGATCTCATTATTTAGCCTTATGTAATTTTACATAGTATTTTTTTTGCTGCAAAGTAGTCGGCTGGTAGCTTGCCGGAACGATGCCCATCCGTTACCAGTAGCTCAGCCGGCTTGCACCAGTTGGTATTTTTTTCATCTTTGCTTTTCTCCTTTCTTCTACGTATTGCGGCACAGCAGCTGAGATTTTTCCCAATTCTAGCTAACGTGTATGATTATATATATATATATAAATATATATATATGTCATCTTTAGCAATGTCACGTTATAGCAAGGTTTAAAGGTTAAATTATCCATTTTCTTCGCTTAATTTGGTAGTGTATTTAGTATATATTTCCATAAGGATACATAGTTATCGTCTATGCTATTGTCACAACTTGAGGACATGTAAATATAGAAATGCAGCTTAAGAGATACTACTAACGAGCTTGTCAGTAACCGGAAATTATACCGTGGCTTTGCTACGTGAATTGACTATTCTGGTGATGCTTGTGGAGCTACTTCCGGTGGGGGTTACAGTTTCGTGTTCCTAGGGATGAAAGGATCATTGACCAATGGGGAATGTAACTGCGGGTACATCGGACTCTACCGCTGGACCCTTCGACGACGACCGTGAAGGTGACACAAAGTGTTGGATGGTTAGTTTGGTCACTCAGTTTGTTGCGGGTGTGAGTAGCCTCCTGTATAGCAACGCCAACGAACTGGCATAATACGTCAAGCTTTTCGAGAGAATCTGCGGGTCATACTACAGTTTCGAACGTCAAAAGCGCATGCCTCCGGCGAGAAGACACTTATCAAATATCAGTGCCAACGGAATGGGTTTGCTTGCCATCCTAACGAATGCAAAAGACGAAGACGCTTGTATCACACGCATTGCGTGCGTGCGCAGACTTTCTAGGCCGGGACAGCCAGTGGCCGGTGTGGCAGGGCTGCACATCCTTGAAACTCTGCGCACACACTCAGTTCACATTTCAACGAAGAATTGAGATCAAGATTTTCTTCCGGCCTGCCTGTTAAGGCTATGCAGGCTTGCAGACGAAGTCACTGAATGTTTCCTGGCGTAACCTCACATGGATGTCTGTGGGGGGGCACTTTTAACGAAACTCGAGTATAGCAGGAAACCCTTGATAACAGGCGTACGCGTTAGTAAGACATATGATGGCAACCAGCATTACCCGCAGAATTGTTCAACTCTACACATGGTTGGCAACACAAAAAGCAGTGTGGTATAATTCATTCCCGTGTCTGACATGAGAAGTCAGCGTAGCATATACGTCGCTTTTCCGTCCTTCCCGATCACGCGAAATGCAATGGAATCAGTGCCCGGACACTCATGCTATCATGTGTTTACCGTGTCGGTGTCTCCGCGCAGTAAGTCGCTTTATTGACAGCTCCAAACGTCAAGCAATAATGTCCCCAAACTTATTTACGTACACTCAGCGGGTATGCTGAAGAAAATATTCCCGTGAATCGTACAGCCTGGGTGATTCGTGGTGCCGATTTTGCGAATTATGTAGAAGGTTACAGATTCTGGGAGTTTGTGTTGCTGCATGCAACTTCCAGACTGACATACGGACTTATCTATGGTTTCGGTGTTGAATGTCCGCAGGTAATCCGTTACATCCTCGTGGACAGTGACCTCAACTTTTCGGCCTTGTTAGTATGATATCGTGGTACCTTCTCTCGCATCATCATCACACTAAGCGGATGCAAGATAAATATCAGTGCAACGGAGCATGTACGTTGCTGTGCCCAACTGAAAGTTCGGTGTGGTGCAAAACATCTGCGTATAGTACACGAGCAGAGACATCAAAACCCCAGTTTGAGAGAGTTTTGTACACCATTTGACAACTGCATAACGAAAAGGTGTCGGATATTTTGTCAGTCATATACAGCAACGAGTCCGTAAGTCGGAGAAGGAGAACGAAAATGACGGGCGAAAGTCACTTGGTATACACCAAGTTAGCAACGGTGTAGGCAAAGGTGCTGAATGTTAATCTTCCTGGCAGGTGAGCGTCGCTAGTGAACATGTTTAAGAATTGTAAAATATTCAAGTTTTTAATACACAAAGGTGACAGCACAACTGAGTTTCTATGACGAAGTTGAGCTCCTTTAAGCGATTTGGTCCAGAGGTTTATAATGGTATGCTTTTGTGTGCCATGGACCAACGCAACCATGGTAACTAATAAAGATGCGGAAACAGAAAGGAATAGGGATAGGTTGGACCAGGTTCACTTAATGGGCCAACCGCCTCAAAACATGTGTACCGCGATGGTGCAACCTGTTTTACACTACATCCAATGAGTTCTGATGCTATGATGAGTGTAAGCAATTGCACAGGCTCAAATTCGTATGTCATTTCCTTCATTCCAGAATCAATTGCTGTTACTAGATACATAAATAAATGTTCTTCTTGACAAACCAAGGCACGCCTGTTCCGGCATGAGCAGCGGTACATGCTAAATGACGGAAATTTTACGGCGGCCAGTTACGAGTAGAGGGATCATACTGTGTTGTCAATATGCGAGATTGCATTATTACAGGATTGGATATTTGAGTCACATCATCGTGAAACATCCATTCTCATATGCGCAGTTTCATTGGGAAAGGAGCACATATGTCGTCAGCAGACGCACAAGGTTCTCATTACGTAGCTAATGTGCCACATGTAACAGCAGGTGTCACTGAGAGGATAAGCCGAATGCCAAGTTGCCGCACCTGAGGCCTATTTTAGTCATACATGATTACCTTCATATGGCATTTAACATTGTAGTTACAGTTAGCTTCAATCAAATGGTTTCTCACACTCCCTTAAGTGAAATTGTACTGTCCATGCTCGTTAACAACGTGTACATTTAGTGACCATGTATAGGAAATAAAGCACTGTCTAAATATTCGGTGTAAATTGCGTACAGGTTAAAATAACCACGCAAATGTGGTTACACCTAGAGTTTTACAGTTTATGATAAAACTATAACGCTATGGGGCATATTGTGCTATACACTGAACTTGCGCCAAATTTTTACCATGCACACAGCTGGAGTGCATCCAATGAGCACATTGGCTGCATAGTGAAGTGTATGTGTCTTACCTGACCTCGCGACCAGTTCACGCTCTTAACAGTGAGAATTGTGTCCAATTTAGTGCAGGAGAATTGCAAGTAGTTGAGCGATTCACACATGAGTGACCTCAGAGGTGATGAGAACTCATGAGGAATATAACAAGGTATGCTGCTCAGGCAAGGTAGCATTTGGCAAGTTAACCAATGTCGGCGATATTGCTGCTCGTGGCACTGGCATTATTCAAGCAAACTGCTGGTAAGTAATTGTCCATCGTTTCTTGAAATGTCCACGATCCTTATTTTGTGATTTGAAAGGTTCGAGAGACTTGTATTTGTCCATGGTTACACGAACGCAAGAGTGCCGTTTGGGCAATGGTTATACATGTTGCAAATGTAACACTGAAAAACGCATGCCATTAATGTTTCATAGTTATGAACGTGTGTGATTAAGTTGTGAAGTGTGCGCCTACAAGAAAAACTGGACGATGTTCCACCAATGTTCACATCTGCTTCCCTCTAGCTCAAAACCCCGCAGTCTCCATTAGGTGCTACGACGATTGCGGTGCCAGTGATGGCAAGACCTGCCCAACCGTAATGAAGGGATGTGTGGCTTGTTCGGTGAGTTGCATCAATTAGACGATTAGTATACCTTTAGTTAATATCATTCATCAGTTCCTGTGAACTGCCATTTCACGCAAACCATTTCGTTGATTACCCGAGAATCGGTCTTCGCTTATTGTCGAATTGGCCTTCGGTTCTTCGTAGAACCGAAAGACCAACACTTGTAATATGACCATTCGATGTCACTTCCTGTGGAAAGGAGAGTAAGGAGTGAACCAGATTTTATTCTAATTCCCACTTAGCTTGGGAGACAATTTTGTGGTTCTATTTATGTAATGACTGAGCAACCAGCCTTGTCGAAGTGTATATGCGACAGGAACCGCGAAAATCCCTACATCTTTCGCTCCATTGCTGTCACACTCCTCCAAACGCAGCACTTCTTGCCTCAGTCTTCTTTGTCCTGCTTTTCAGTATATCGAGTTCTGGAAGAACAATCAGATAATTGAATACAGACGGGTGTGCGAAAAATGGGCTTGCTACCCGTTCCAGGGCAGCTTCGGGGACATTGAGACAAGACACTACTGCTGCTCGGACGATCTGTGCAACGAATCGCTGGCAAAAGGTGAGTGCCCGTTTTGGCTCGATAGGTGAATGTGTTCTGCTGGACATTTAGAGAATTTCGCCACCTCGTTTCCTTGTGTTACCGAGTTCAGTAGAATTCGCCACCTATTATGTGGGTGCACAGAAAGACGTACAGCACGATTTGTGTTGCCCTGTGAAGCAATCGAAGCTTCACCCACATTTCACATGTTATGAGCTCTACAAACCCGTTTCCGTTGTTGACTGAGGTAGTATATCAGACTCGCTTTTGGGAACGAGACAACACATTAATTTTTGTCTCTCCTGTTAACAACTTCTCAAAATCTCTTTATTTGTAGCGAATAAGAAATTAGTGCCAAGTGTTGGGAGCCGTGGATAATTGAAATATGAGGACTGAAGCAACAGCAGGCGCACATGTGGCTACTGTGGACACGCACGTTTTTGTGTAAATCTGTTTCGTTTATTTATTATGCATCAGTTTCATGTACACTCGCCTTGCTACAAATCAATATTGTTATTCAACCACCCTGTATACCTTTGGTACTTACTGTGTACTGATGGAGCCCTTGCGATAGCACAAATATAGAAGCGGCACCGCTACGTGTTTTTATTTCATCGTGCTCCAAACATTGCAAGTGGGTCGTATTGTCATGTATCTTTGCAACTTCTTCTGCCATAGACAAAGGAAGCCAAGTTCAAGCAGATGTGTTTCGTTATCCTGTGAGATACCTCATCGTTAACATGCCCCCTAACATGATGATTCGGCGGCGTCCGTATCCGGATTTGCCTGTCACTGTGACGTCCATGGGGACAGTCACAGGACGCCTGCGCCTACAAAGGGGACCATGGGTGGCTTGCGCTGCCTTACCCATAGTTCCACCCACACACCCCATATCCGGTGTAAACCCGAAGGAATAAGACCGGGAGGCATGCGGATAGGAGCCACGTTTCATCAACGGAGCCGGCCCACACTTCTTCAACAAGCAGAACGGAAGCATTCTGGCTTAATTGGGAAATCATACACACCAGACGTACACGAGGCGGTGACTAGACCGTAGCCCGTTCCACACAGGATGGAAACACTCTTTGAGCCTAGCAGCGTCACGAGGACAGTACACTCCGTCCCCTCCAGCGACGACCAACTGTCTCTTGGAGCCAGTATGGACGAGGTAGTGGGTAATAGACAGGTAGGCGCCATGCCAACATTCACATCAGGCGCATCCACACCGGGGAGCTCAAGCAACATCTACTTCTGAAATGCAAGATTACTCATCACGCAGACAAACGTACCACATGCGCCGCATTATTGGCCTGGATTAGTAAATTGAATGGGAACGTACTCATGGCGCTTCTATTCCGCATAAAATAATGCCTTCTCCGGCACCTGAGAAACCGCCCTTTTGAGCAGTCCACGGAATTCGCATCGATCAAAGTTGCCTTGGATTCGCAACACCAGAAATCAACATGAGTTTGTCATAAACTCACCTTCCTCATGTTCTGGTAATGTTATTTTCGGTTTGCTCGAATGTAGTTTTACTGCACTAAGTGAACCGTACAAAAGTGGAATGAAGATCCTCGTGGAATTCATTCGGTATACATATATACATAGATTGGCGTCATCTGTGTCCAATGACAGTTCGAATACAACATTTGTACATGCGTTTATCCAAACTTAAGTGTGAGCTGTCACAAACTGGATAGAGACACATTAGACATCATCATCAATGATACGACAAACATGTATGGGTTTCGTTTGGAGGTCAGGCTAACAATCACTTTCGCAAGCATGAGAATAACTACCCAATGCGAACTGTTGATGTTTTCTTCAACATTTAGACTTGACAGCCTTAAATCTTGGGCATCCATATTTGAAGGAACCCGATGTGGCAATAGTAAAGCAACTGCTAGGTTGAATGATGACTAGACTACTGGTACAGTGAAATAGTGTGCACTTAGGTGTTGCCCTCTACATGTACAGTCTGGTTTGAGTAGCTGATGGGGGAGATCACACAGCATGCGAATGCGATACAGTGTCCACTTCTGGCTCTCTGTGTCTCCGACCGTTTCGGTCATGTGCGGCCGGAGGTATGTGCACCTACTCAAAGAACGATTGATGCGCAATCTTTGGTATTGACAAGTGACATCAATTAAATCTTGCTGCCCACTGTCAAACATGCGACTTTCCAAACAGTGTTCGCATTTATTGTGCAAATGTCCAAGTACTCAACCGTTTGTACCTACCGACCTGTACTCTACTGTGACCATAAGCTATTTGCTAACGGCCTATATCGTACGTTTCGGGTGCAGCCATTCGGTGCTCATAAAACCATTGTCGCTGTGCGCCGATTCATTTCCGATGTTATATAATAACACACTGACGTACCATTCCCGTTAGGTTCAAACTTTTACTTAATCCATCCAAAACATTGGCCATGTGCAGTGCAACTTCTGGTAGGCTTCTCTGCACGTCAGTCTTCCATCCGGTTAGTACGTGTGTTTTCATAGGCCCCGGTAAATTCAGTATGGCTGAGGGATAACTGGAACTATAACTATACTCACTCTCATCACTAGCCTGCGGAGTGGAACATGAAATGGCGACATCATGATAATCGCTAGTCGGTTAATTGTCGGGATTGTTCACTTGACACAGAATTTCCAGGGAAATTTCTCCTCGAATGCATACTCCAAACTGGTCACACGAAGGACAATCGTTGAGCATTGTGTTACAAATGTCAAATTTGACATTTTATGCCTATTGTAAACGGCCAAGCGATAATAACCTTTTGATTCAAACGTATCCATCGAACTGGAAACATACCCAATAATTTGCCACCCTAGCATTGATCCGTAGCAAGCACACAAATCGCTCGGAAAAACCGCACTCACATCAATTACGAATGAGCTCATGGATGGACAGAACAATGGTTCTGCGATGCACCGGCTCTCTAAGCATCATGCAAGTTAGCATGGAACAGCTAGTCAAGCTACATTTATGGTGAGCAATACCATGGAGCATACATAGTGATATGAATCGCGGCCGAATAATAATACGAAAATGAAGATGCCATAGCTCACTTTCGGAATGTAACCATACTAGACACCGCTTGAGAAGGTAGTAAGAACAGCATAGCATAGATCATGATAAGTACAATATCGTAATGGGCAACACATGTGAAGTCATCGCGAAATGCAACCGAGTTAAATAAGCCTAAATAGTTAGGTTACCTGTGGCTCATCCGTTCTAGGCAGGTGCAATAATGATACCACATTGCAACAAGTCAGTAGTTAATACTATACACGAACATACATACAGACACACAAATCTAGGATCTGGCTGGTCAACCTGCCATATTTT